GGGGGGGCTGGTTTCTGGGCTATTGGACCCGGCTTAGGGGTCAGGTCTCCCCTCAGAGCGTCCCAGGCGCAGGCAGAGTCGCCTCCTGCAGGTCACTTTGGGCTCCTCGGGGGCAGACGCTCCTCCAGCGCCGCCCGGGCGGGTCTGGCAGTGCGGCCGGCAGCGAGGGGAGCTGGGCCCCGGGCATCGGGGCGGGGTCTGGGCTCCCTGAGCTGTGACTGAACGTTCTGCTCTCTCCTCCCTGCAGCCCCGGCCCTACGCAGAGCCCGCACACGGCCCGCTCTCCCCGTTTGACTGGCCAGCAAACCCTGTGTGCTCGGGGCCTGACCCAGCCCTTCCGTGGGCTCTGCAGGGACCAGCGAGCTCTGCCTTTGACTCCAGAGTTCACCTGCCTCCTCGCCAAACAGCTCCCAGCCCGACGGATTTCCAGGCCTACAGCTCATGGGCCCCACAGAGCATCATGAGAACCTCGCCCCCTGCTATGCAACCTGTGACCATCAACTCCAGCTTCCTCCACTTCTCTGGGGTTCAGTCCATGGAGTGTGGAGCTGTCACAGTTAATCAATGCTGGTGACTCATTCTTCATTCTGTGTGGACTCCCAGGGGACTTCACACTGGGAGTCTAACCATGGGGATATAAGCCCTGGTGACAGAAAGAGTAACTTCAGTACATGTCTGGACTCCCTTCTGGCTGTTTCCCAGCCTGCGTCATATATGTCTTAGGCTCCTCCACTCCTGAGGAATAGCTGGCATCCTTCACTAGTGAAACTGCCAAGATGCCTTTGCACTCTAAGGTGAAAACCTGACAGGGAGAGACAGACAAAGCTGTGGGTTCAGTGCTTGGACAATGTTGTACGTGTGATATTTTCCTAATATTAGAATGAATCTATTGTATTCATTGGTGTGTGTTATTTTCCAATGAAGCCATTTTAACTAATCAAGAGTGTCTCTGGTACTACTCCTGAGCTATAAACAGGCCCAAGTTCCAGAACCTCTTATCACCATAAAAAATTAAATTCATGTCCCTGCTACTCCCAGAAAGGACCAGATCATTTCCCAACCTGCAGCCCTAGCCCATCTCCCAGCCCTTGGCTAAGGCTGGGTTCTGTATTAATGGTGGGAGCGGGTATATTTTTGAGAGTGTCAAAGTGACTCAGGTTTTTAATCCCCAAACAGTTACTTAGCATAATAAAGCTGCCAAAGGCTGTGGGAGCTGGGCTTTTTTACTAAGGCCTTGCTTCACAAACTGCACAGGAGTAACATCAATGGGGTTCAGAGCAGAAGTTCTGAACCAAATATTCTAGCCTTGAAAGCTCTAACATCTCTTCCTGCACATTTCCAATGTTTTCCCCATGAGCTCTCTGCTGCCAGGGAAACCTTTTGGCCTTCCAGTTGGTTTTCTCTGTTCTCAGCCAGGGAGAGAGGCTTTGATTTGCCCTCAGACACAAATTTACAATAGCAGCTCAAGATGGCTCCTACCTCTCAAGTGAGAAGGAATAATGGATTAAGGCCCTACCTGTACTGGGATCACTGCCAGACCAGTCATGGCCTGGGTTAAACATTTCTTCAGCTAGGATAGTCCTGGTGGTATAAGCAAAGGTATAGAATGGTCTGTTTTGTAAATGTATCCCCTGTCCCAGAAGTGCACTACACTTGTGCCTCACAAATACAGACCCAACTTGATCCTGCACACATGTGCTCAACACTACACCTGTTTCCCCACTCAGTGCCTGGTTCACATTCCAAATTCAATGTAGGGTTTGTGGAGACTGAGGACTAATGGGATACCTGGTCTATAAAGGCTCCTCCATCAACTCGGATGCCATTTGCTGCACACTTGAGTGTAGCTGAAACAGAATGGGGTCTAGAGAAGGGATCCACTGACATCATCCAGAAGATGTTTGTCAGGATATTCATCATCTGTTCAGAGGGGGAGTGTAGGGTAGTGCTTAGAACAAGGGCTGAGAGCTGGAACCCTTGGTTTCATTTATTGTTCTAATATGGGATCGCTTTGTGGCTTTAAGCAAATCATTCACCCCTCAGTGCCTCATTTTCACACTCTGAATTGGAGAGAGTAATATTCATCTGCCTCACAGGAGGGTTGTGCAGCTTCACTTATCTGCAAGAGAAGGAGCTTCACACTGCTAGAGCAAGAGGGGTTCTTCCAGGAGTTCATCTCCCCCAGACACCAAAGAGAGGCAGAGAATTTAATAGGCCAGGAAGATTGGACTTCTGTTGAAAGGGGCCCTTCAGGGGAAAGGCTAAGCCTGCTGATCAGTTAGGTCAGGAACTGAAGAGAACCACATACCTCTTGAACTCTGCTCCACTTTCCTTTGAGAGCCACTTACCATGGGAGCCAGGAAGGAATTGACAAGGAGCCCCCACAGCCCTCTGCAGAATGGTTTTGTTGTCTGTTACTGTGCTTGATCATTTCTTCTTCCAGTAACTGAAATTCTGCCTGGGTGCAGGTCATGGAAACTGCTCTAGTACAGTCAGATAACATTGAGAAGAAAAGTGGGCAGCCAAATTCTTTCTTTCTATTTGCAAGATTTAAATGCCATAGATGTCAGTTTATGTATTGTTACAGCTTATTTTACTAACATCTATCTCTGGAATTAGCAAGATTTAAATGATCCATTTAAATTTTGTGCCATTGATGCCATGCTATTGGTGATGTGGATGCACTGGGCTATTGTGGGTAGAACAAAAAAGGAGGGAATGGCTTTTAGTTGGATAATAATGCTATGAGCATGATGCACTCCAGTTAGTCCTCTCATGTGGTCTCAGCTCCTGCACGGTATATCCATAACAACAACATAGCTGCCAAAGGCTGTTTTGCGGGTAGATGCAGCCCACATAGCGTTAGAAGACACAGTCTGCTGACTTCTCTCCAAGTATCTGATATGGCGCCCAGACAGCGCTGTCCATTCCTATGGCTCTGACACAGAGAGAGCAGGGAGGAGTCGGGAAAAGTCCTTTACCAAAACCAGCAGTTTTAGGTTTCGTTCTCTATCCGGGAGGGGATAACTCATACATAACATGCGTTAGCTACAGCAGGGCCCAGACTTGTCCTGCGCGGACAATAAGAACTGGTAATGCCCACAGACTGCCCCAGGAAGGAAGTTGCAGGGGGACCCTGTGAATTAGGTGCAGAAGTTAGGATAGGGCACGGGGAAACTACATGCTGCGGAGGGATTTGGAGAAGCCATCTTATTCTGGTGCTACCCTTCATACTGGTCATTTCACCCCCCGCCATGTATTCAGTCAGCATCTGTTCCCTTGCCACAGGAACCAAGCTCACTCTATACTGTAATGATAGAAATGTAGCCATGTTAGTCTGGGGTAGCTGAAGCAAAATGCAGGACAATGTAGCACTTTAAAGACTAACAAGATGGTTTATTAGATGATGAGCTTTCGTGGGCCAGACCCACTTCCTCAGATCAAATAGTGGAAGAAAATAGTCACAACCATATATACCAAAGGATACAATCTGTAACTAGAGGGACTCGCATATGGTCCTCCTTCTACATAGACCCCCTCCCTTTTCAGCTTCAGCCCACAGCACGATTCCCGCTGCTTGGGAGTGAAAAAATATTTTCTTCCCCTGCTAAGTGTGATTCTGTCAGAACCAGACTGACAGCTGCTGTGTGTAAACCTCAAAGGAATTAGAAGCTTACATCATTGGTTTACTGTTTATATTATAGTAGATGCCTAAAGCTCTGCAGTGCTGGGATCTGAGCAAAGAGAAAATGAGACGGTCCCAGCGAGTTTACAGTCTGATGCTGTAGGGACACAAAATATAAAGCCTTCTCTAAAATGGGGCTCTAGTTATATTGAATCTGGACCAGCACCTGCCATCCCACAGTTATGAGAATGAAAGCTGGGACTTTGGGAATGCAGTTCCCATTAAAATCCATGAGAAAACTAGGGACACACATTAATAAAGGAAGTGACGGGTTTAGCATTCTCATCAGTGCTGATTTCGTCCACTGGAATAGCAGTTTGTAAGTAATACAAGTTTAATTTATTTAATAGTTTCTTTTTAGATAAGAAAATTATCAGAGATACATTTTTGCACCAAGGCAGCTTCCCTTGCATGTGACTAAGCAGAATTTCAGTCCCTGGGAAAGGAGAAGCATAATCACATTAGCTGTTAATAAGATCACTGAGTGGTGTGAAGCTCGGGTCCAAAGTCCCTTTCTATTTACAGACAGGCAGAGACCACGCCCTGCTCCCTTGGACATGAGCACAGTGCTAGCTACAGAAATTAATGAGAGCCCCGTCCCAGGACAGTTACTTTGGTTCAGTGGTAGAAATGTAGCCATGTTAGTCTGGTGCAGCTGAAACAAAAAACAGGACTGTGCAGCACTTTAAAGACTAACAAGATGGTTTAATAGGTGATGAGCTTTCGTGGGTCAGACCCACTTCCTCAGATCAAATAGTGGAAGAAAATTGTCACAAAAGCTCATCACCTATTAAACCATCTTGTTAGTCTTTAAAGTGCTACACAGTCCTGTTTTTTGTTTCACTTTGGTTCAGGACCTTTGCTGCCAGCTCTATTGGTGCTGTTCCTATGAAGTTTGTGGGTCAGAGCCTCAGTGAAACAACTTTGCTGTTACAGTCTTTGGGAAGATTAATATGACCAGTAAATATCACGTGTGTATGAAAATTAACTGGTTAGTTCAGATGGTTAAAGCTGCGTGATAATAATGTCAAGGTCACCCGTTCGATCCCCTGTAAGGGCCGCAGATTATTATGTTCTTTCTTAGTGTGACAGGTCCTCCCTCCAGCTATAGCTGAACCTCTGTCCTAGAGAAGGGTTATCGGCACGTTTGGTAATCCCACACAATTTATATTGGTCCGTTCGTGGGTTTTAGGAGAATGGGGGGCAGGAGGGTAATTTTTTCATGGTGAGGAGAGCTTGTGAGAGTTGGAACTGATTACAGCTCAGACACTGTACAGATCACTTTAAACTGGTTTATTATAAATTAGCAAATAAGATAATGAATTCATCCTGACAGCAGAAAAGCATCACTGAAAAGAGGACGCACAACATTCTACAAATACTGAGACCTTAGCGTTCCCCCCACCCTCTCTCAAGCTTTCAGCTTGGAGTCTGAAGAAATCGTGGTGTTTTCATGAGCTAAGGGCGTCAGAGACTTCTCAGGAATGGAAAAGTGTGAGAACTCCTTGACCCAGGCAGGGAAACAGAGCCAGGGAGGAGTAGAGACAGGAAGGTAACGTTACCCAGGGTGGCCACAAGTGCTTCTGAAGAGAGCAGAGTTTAATCAGCACAAGGCTCCAGATACTCCAGGGCCTGGACCTGAGGGAGTGGAGGAAGCTACAAGGAGGTAGAGTCACTAGCCACAGGTTGCACAGCAGGGGGCGAGGTCCCTATACTGGCGTCTGGGGGTTGTGTTTTGAACTCATGGAACCAGGGCTGGGAGCTGTTTGGCGAGGAGGCAGGTGAACTCTGGAGTCAAAGGCAGAGCTCGCTGGTCCCTGCAGAGCCCACGGAAGGGCTGGGTCAGGCCCCGAGCACACAGGGTTTGCTGGCCAGTCAAACGGGGAGAGCGGGCCGTGTGCGGGCTCTGCGTAGGGCCGGGGCTGCAGGGAGGAGAGAGCAGAACGTTCAGTCACAGCTCAGGGAGCCCAGACCCCGCCCCGATGCCCGGGGCCCAGCTCCCCTCGCTGCCGGCCGCACTGCCAGACCCGCCCGGGCGGCGCTGGAGGAGCGTCTGCCCCCGAGGAGCCCAAAGTGACCTGCAGGAGGCGACTCTGCCTGCGCCTGGGACGCTCTGAGGGGAGACCTGACCCCTAAGCCGGGTCCAATAGCCCAGAAACCAGCCCCCCC